TTTCGGCATTCTTTACTGCGTGCTTCAATACCGCGTACAGCAACAACCGTTGTTCGCCCTTTACTGCTAACGGGGCTTTGCCAACCTTCGCGTGCACTAGTTAGTTACCAAACCATGCACCGTTGGCCCGGCCGTGTCGGCCTACGCTTCGGGACTAGCCCGAACCTTGATGCCAGCATCGCACTAGCTATCTTGCACGCACCGCGTAACCGCTTGCATGTTTCGTATAAGTATTTTCTCAAGCCTTCGCTCATACTTTGTACTCGTTTGACGCCCTTGTGGAATTCTCTCTATTTAGATTCATTGCACTTGTAACAAAATTATAGGGTATATGAAAAACAATTGAAGGCTGCCACACGCCACTGGCAGAAGGCTTGTGGTGCTGGCGCGTGGATGAGTGCTGGCGTGTGGATGAGTGCTGGCGTGTGGATGAGTGCTGGCGTGTGGATGAGTGCTGGCGTGTGGATGAGTGCTGGCGTGTGGATGAGTGCTGGCGTGTGGATGAGTGCTGGCGTGTGGATGAGTGCTGGCGTGTGGATGAGTGCTGGCGTGTGGATGAGTGCTGGCGTGTGGATGAGTGCTGGCGTGTGGATGAGTGCTGGCGTGTGGATGAGTGCTGGCGTGTGGATGAGTGCTGGCGTGTGGATGAGTGCTGGCGTGTGGATGAGTGCTGGCGTGTGGATGAGTGCTGGCGTGTGGATGAGTGCTGGCGTGTGGATGAGTGCTGGCGTGTGGATGAGTGCTGGCGTGTGGATGAGTGCTGGCGTGTGGATGAGTGCTGGCGTGTGGATGAGTGCTGGCGTGTGGATGAGTGCTGGCGTGTGGATGAGTGCTGGCGTGTGGATGAGTGCTGGCGTGTGGATGAGTGCTGGCGTGTGGATGAGTGCTGGCGTGTGGATGAGTGCTGGCGTGTGGATGAGTGCTGGCGTGTGGATGAGTGCTGGCGTGTGGATGAGTGCTGGCGTGTGGATGAGTGCTGGCGTGTGGATGAGTGCTGGCGTGTGGATGAGTGCTGGCGTGTGGATGAGTGCTGGCGTGTGGATGAGTGCTGGCGTGTGGATGAGTGCTGGCGTGTGGATGAGTGCTGGCGTGTGGATGAGTGCTGGCGTGTGGATGAGTGCTGGCGTGTGGATGAGTGCTGGCGTGTGGATGAGTGCTGGCGTGTGGATGAGTGCTGGCGTGTGGATGAGTGCTGGCGTGTGGATGAGTGCTGGCGTGTGGATGAGTGCTGGCGTGTGGATGAGTGCTGGCGTGTGGATGAGTGCTGGCGTGTGGATGAGTGCTGGCGTGTGGATGAGTGCTGGCGTGTGGATGAGTGCTGGCGTGTGGATGAGTGCTGGCGTGTGGATGAGTGCTGGCGTGTGGATGAGTGCTGGCGTGTGGATGAGTGCTGGCGTGTGGATGAGTGCTGGCGTGTGGATGAGTGCTGGCGTGTGGATGAGTGCTGGCGTGTGGATGAGTGCTGGCGTGTGGATGAGTGCTGGCGTGTGGATGAGTGCTGGCGTGTGGATGAGTGCTGGCGTGTGGATGAGTGCTGGCGTGTGGATGAGTGCTGGCGTGTGGATGAGTGCTGGCGTGTGGATGAGTGCTGGCGTGTGGATGAGTGCTGGCGTGTGGATGAGTGCTGGCGTGTGGATGAGTGCTGGCGTGTGGATGAGTGCTGGCGTTTGGTTCAGCGGCGCACAATCATAGCAGAAACTGACTCGTTTGAACCCCCTTTCCCTACCTTGCCTGTGTGCTGGTGTGTGTGCCTCTTCGCCCCTGCGTGAAACAATCACGATTTCTGTGCAGACTTGTGTGCCAACGAAGACTGTGGAGAAGCTACCTGCACTGTTGATATAGACATGCCCGTGTGCGTGTGCAAGGACGGTTTTGTATTCGACGATGACCACAAGACGTGTGTGGTGGGTGAGTGCTAGTGTGTGGGTGAGTGCTAGTGTGTGGGTGAGTGCTAGTGTGTGGGTGAGTGCTAGTGTGTGGGTGAGTGCTAGTGTGTGGGTGAGTGCTAGTGTGTGGGTGAGTGCTAGTGTGTGGGTGAGTGCTAGTGTGTGGGTGAGTGCTAGTGTGTGGGTGAGTGCTAGTGTGTGGGTGAGTGCTAGTATGTGGTTGATTGGTGAGTGGTGTGTGGTCGAGTGCGCGCGTGTGGGGGAGTGCACAATCATAAGCAACATTTTCACCCATTTAACCTGCTCTCCCTGCGTCACCATTTAACCTGCTCTCCCTGCGTCACCATTTAACCTGCTCTCCCTGCGTCACCATTTAACCTGCTCTCCCTGCGTCACCATTTAACCTGCTCTCCCTGCGTCACCATTTAACCTGCTCTCCCTGCGTCACCATTTAACCTGCTCTCCCTGCGTCACCATTTAACCTGCTCTCCCTGCGTCACCATTTAACCTGCTCTCCCTGCGTCACCATTTAACCTGCTCTCCCTGCGTCACCATCGCTTCCTCTGCAGACCCGTGTGCCGGCAGCGGGGTGTGTGGGTTAGAGGGTTCCTGCACCACTCTCGGTCCTAGCGATTTTTTCTGCTATTGCGAGAATGGCCTTGCTATGGTGAGTGCTGCACTCGTGAGCAGTAGCTTCATTCCTTGACGCATCTCATCGTTTCAGTCCCACTGGTGAGCTTTAGGCACTACATTCCTTGAGGCATCTCATCGTCTCATCGTTACATTCCTTGAGACACTGAGAGGCGACGCTGAGAGGCAGGGCCGGAAACGTTCACCTCTCCTCACTCCTCCCGTGCCTTCCCCCCTGTCTGGTCTGCCCCCTTGCTCTCCTCTCCCCTGTCCTGCCTCCAACCCACCATCATCGTCACGCAACCTTCAACGGCCATGTTTTGGCATCGTCCGTCTCAACGGCCGGTCAGCCCCCTTGGCGCGGACGACAGTGGCGCTGCAGCAAGGAGGCTCCAGAAGCATTGTGCCCGCCACCTTCATGTCGCCGCTGCCGGCAGAGCAGGCCAGTGGCAGCAGTGCGTGCGGCAACCTGTATGTCACCATCGAAGGCACCGCCAAGATCACCGTCGTGTGGAATGCCTCCAACCCCACCTCGTCTGCCCGCGACGCCCCTAGCAACGCCATGTGCAAGAGCCTCTCGTTCTACGCCGAGTCGGGCTGCACCAAGAAGCTGGGCTTCACCATTGCGCGTCCTGCAAAGAAGGGTAGTTCCTACCCCGTCACCATCAAGTGAGTGTGCGTGATGTACAGGACTGGTGTGGTGTATTCCGGTGTGCTTGCAGCACATAGTACGGCGTTCTTCCATAACCAATCTTCAGTTGACCGCCGTGTCAGAGGTCCACTGGAGATCCCCGATTGATCCTAGGGAAGGGTTACAGGCACGTTGGCCTGGGGGGTTATGGGCGCACTCACCCGCTACACAAACAAGCCCTTTTATCCCAGTGGTTAGTGGCTGGGATTCTGACATGGTATCAGAGCGAAGGTCTCGGGTTCGATTCCCGGTGTGTGCACTTCGGGCATCCCAGTGCGGGGGGGTGTCAGAGGTCCACTGGAGATCCCCGATTGATCCTAGGGAAGGGTTACAGGCACGTTGGCCTGGGGGGTTATGGGCGCACTCACCCGCTACACAAACAAGCCCTTTTATCCCAGTGGTTAGTGGCTGTGATTCTGACACGCCGTAGTTGTAGCGTGAATGGAGCGAATGTCGAAACTTGCTCTCCTCTCCTTTCTATCCTTTGTTCCTCATCCTCCGTATCCTCACCTCTCCCTCTCTCAGGACTGTCAAAGGAATCAAATCGCTGCTATCAGTTGGATGCGAGATAAGTAAGTGAGAGCACATGCATGTAATACTTGGGTTGTTTTTACTTATCCTACTGAGTGTCACATGCACAGGAGAAATACCATAAGGGAGAGCGAGAACCACACCCACCTCGTTTTTTTCGTGATTCTTTTTTTCACCTCAAATAGTACATTGTCAAGTGTTTTTTTCGTTCCTGCCCCCTTGACTCTTCATGTCTGGATTGTTTGTCTCTATGTGGTTCCCACAACAGCCATGTGTGAGAATGACTGTGGAAGTGCACAGTGTGTTGTGAAGGAGGGCCAGCCACAGTGCCAGTGCCCCGAGGGCCTCGTGTTCAACGCCGCTAAGAAGCGCTGCCTCGACCCTTCTCTTGCTCCTCCTCGTAGGTGCCTTGTTGGCTGCTGCGTTTTTTCCAACTAGAAAGAATCAACTTGTCGTGTATCTGCCAGTGTGACGCTGGCTGCACGAAGAGGAGCGGGCCTCCACTGGCGGGCTCTGCACTGGCGGGCTCTAGCATTTTTCTGTATCATCTCACGTCTTACGCTGTTCCCTGCCCTTCATTTGCCCTCTCCTGTTGCCCTCCCATTTTCCCCCTCCTGTTGTCCTCCCATTTTCCTCCACCTGTTGCCCTCCCATTTTCCCCCTCCTGTTGCCCTCCCATTTTCCCCCTCCTGTTGCCCTCCCATATTCCCCCTCCTGTCCGTTTCCACCATGAAGGGGCGGGTGGTGGAAAAGTGAAGAACGGACGACCCTAGCTGGTTGGGCAGGGAGCAGGGGGGTGCAGGCTGGCTGGGGAGCGCCAGAGGGTCGGATTGGCGGGGGCTCATGGAGCAGAGGTGCGAGCAGCTGCATGGGGTTTCTCAGAGGCTAGGAACCTATTTGCCTGACGGTTGGCTGGTTCACTTCACTTAGCCTCTGGTATCAATAGAAATGGGATTACCAGTGTATGTGCTTGCTGGTACCGTATGTTGTACTATGGAATCCACTGTAGTTTTGTTCCCTGGAAAGATTGTTTGATTTGAAAATGTTACTGATATTTGTCTGCTACCCCGCATGTCTTGGCCTTTTTGGTCGTCTCTTGACCATTAGCTGCATAGGCTACAATGGTACAGTAGTAGTACGGTACTGAGTCTTAAAGTTGCTAAAAGTGGTCAGATCAGAATCAACATTTGCAGCTGTGACTAAACGAATGTACGAGTACAGTGAAGGTTTAGTACCCAGGTGGCATATCCAGGCTGTTCTCGTTAGAAAGCTACTGCAATCCTGCAATCCTCATTGGAGGCCTGCAATCCTCATTGGAGGCCTGCAATCCTCATTGGAGGCCTGCAATCCTGTAACCCTCATCAGGTGTCTACCTGCACTGCCACTCATCTTCGCCTGCCTCCTGTAACCCTCCCCCTCCCCCACTGTCTCTGTTTGGTGCTCTCCCCTGGTCCCTCGCCTTTCCCTTCAACCTTGCCACCTTTATCCTTCCCCTCCTTCCTCCCATCTCTATCCTCCTCTTCCTCCTCATCCTCCTCCTCCTACTCCTCTTCCTCATCCTCCTCATCCTCCTCTTCCTCCTCATCATCCTCATCCTCGTCCGCCCCTCCTCTCCCCCCTCTCCCCCACCCAGCACCATGATTTGGGTTGCGGAACAGAGGTGCTGCATCATCATCAGAATCAGAACCTTCTGAGTCGCTTCCGCTGTTGGCTGGGGTGAGAGATGCACAGGGGGGAGGAAAGGAGAGAAGGGAATGAAGCGACAGATGAAGGAGAAGGTGCGTGCGGTTATTTCCAGCTGGGAAGTTCAAATGAGGGGGGTACAACTTGTGAAGTGAAGGTGTATGGAACGAAATCTCCCAGTAACTTAGGGCGGGTCCAAAAAGTACGTACTCACAACAGTACCCTACCCAACCATTTTAAAGTTTCAATATACCGCTCTGGATTGTACCAATCCTTGTTCAACCGCATTCAGACAAACTCACCGGCGACGCTGTTACTGAACGAGAACTAGCACTCCTTACCTGGGAAAGGCACATCCATGCACCATGTGAAGGCACATCCATGCACCATGTGAAGGCACATCCATGCACCATGTGAAGGCACATCCATGCACCATGTGAAGGCACATCCATGCACCATGTGAAGGCACATCCATGCACCATGTGAAGGCACATCCATGCACCATGTGAAGGCACATCCATGCACCATGTGAAGGCACATCCATGCACCATGTGAAGGCACATCCATGCACCATGTGAAGGCACATCCATGCACCATGTGAAGGCACATCCATGCACCATGTGAAGGCACATCCATGCACCATGTGAAGGCACATCCATGCACCATGTGAAGGCACATCTGTGCATCACCTGGGGAAGGCACATCTGTGCATCACCTGGGGAAGGCACATCTGTGCATCACCTGGGGAAGGCACATCTGTGCCGGCATGTCTGGCCTGTGCGAGCTCCGCCTCCCTCTCCATCCACCTGTGCTGCGCCGCTATCACCTCCGCCCCGTCCGCACACGCCGCGTATGCCTCTAGCAGCTCACTGTGGGCAAGAGCAGGGGGGAGGGGGCAGGCATAGGGAAGGGGAAGGCACGCATAGGGGAGGGGCAGGCACGCATAGGGGAGGGGCAGGCACGCATAGGGGAGGGGCAGGCACGCATAGGGGAGGGGCAGGCACGCATAGGGGAGGGGCAGGCACGCATAGGGGAGGGGCAGGCACGCATAGGGGAGGGGCAGGCACGCATAGGGGAGGGGCAGGCACGCATAGGCGAGGGGCAGGCACGCATAGGGGAGGGGCAGGCACGCATAGGGGAGGGGCAGGCACGCATAGGGGAGGGGCAGGCACGCATAGGGGAGGGGCAGGCACGCATAGGGGAGGGGCAGGCACGCATAGGGGAGGGGCAGGCACGCATAGGGGAGGGGCAGGCACGCATAGGGGAGGGGCAGGCACGCATAGGGGAGGGGCAGGCACGCATAGGGGAGGGGCAGGCACGCATAGGGGAGGGGCAGGCACGCATAGGGGAGGGGCAGGCACGCATAGGGGAGGGGCAGGCACGCATAGGGGAGGGGCAGGCACGCATAGGGGAGGGGCAGGCACGCATAGGGGAGGGGCAGGCACGCATAGGGGAGGGGCAGGCACGCATAGGGGAGGGGCAGGCACGCATAGGGGAGGGGCAGGCACGCATAGGGGAGGGGCAGGCACGCATAGGGGAGGGGCAGGCACGCATAGGGGAGGGGCAGGCACGCATAGGGGAGGGGCAGGCACGCATAGGGGAGGGGCAGGCACGCATAGGGGAGGGGCAGGCACGCTTAGGGGAGGGGCAGGCACGCATAGGGGAGGGGCAGGCACGCATAGGGGAGGGGCAGGCACGCATAGGGGAGAGGCAGGCACGCATAAAGGAGGGGCAGGCACGCATAGGGGAGGGGCAGGCACGCATAGGGGAGGGGCAGGCACGCATAGGGGAGGGGCAGGCACGCATAGGGGAGGGGCAGGCACGCATAGGGGAGGGGCAGGCACGCATAGGGGAGGGGCAGGCACGCATAGGGGAGGGGCAGGCACGCATAGGGGAGGGGCAGGCACGCATAGGGGAGGGGCAGGCACGCATAGGGGAGGGGGTGGGAGGAGTACTCATGTGGCTGTCGCCTGCCACTCCGTCTGCACGCGCCGCTAATGCCTCCAGCAGCTCACTGCACATGAGCAATGAAAAGGGGCAGGGATGGCAGGGATGGCAGGGATGGTAGGGATGGCAGGCAGGCTCAGGGAGTAACGGAGGAATACTGATGTAGCTCTTGCACGCCTGCCCAAGGGAAGGGGGTGGTGGAGGCAAGGGAAGGGGGTGGTGGAGGCAAGGGAAGGGGGTGGTGGAGGCAAGGGAAGGGGGTGGTGGAGGCAAGGGAAGGGGTTGGTGGAGGCAAGGGAAGGGGGTGGTGGAGGCAAGGGAAGGGGGTGGTGGAGGCAAGGGAAGGGGGTGGTGGAGGCAAGGGAAGGGGGTGGTGGAGGCAAGGGAAGGGGGTGGTGGAGGCAAGGGAAGGGGGTGGTGGAGGCAAGGGAAGGGGGTGGTGGAGGCAAGGGAAGGGGTTGGTGGAGGCAAGGGAAGGGGGTGGTGGAGGCAAGGGAAGGGGGTGGTGGAGACAAGGGAAGGGGGTGGTGGAGACAAGGGAAGGGGGTGGTGGAGACAAGGGAAGGGGGTGGTGGAGACAGGAGGAATGGTGACGCTGGCGCCTTTGCCTCGTTTGCCCACGCCGCATATGCCGCCAGCAGCTCGCTGCAGGCAAAGGTGGGGAAGAGGTGGGAGGGGCATGCAGGCACAGGGTGGCGCAGGGTAGTGGTGGGTGGAGCAGTGCGAGGAGTACTCATGTGGCTGTGGCGCACCTGCCCTGCCCGCACCCGCTGCATATGCCTTCTGCACCTCGCTGCACTGGTGGTGGGGGAAGAGAGGGCAAGGGAGGAACGGTTGGGGGATTCATGCAAGCGATGGAGGGGAGTGAATGGGGGAAGAGAGAAGACAAGGAGGGATAATAGAGAAGACAAGGAGGGATAATAGAGGAGACAGGGAGAGTGCAGGGGGGAGGGGGGGCAGGGGAATGAGCGCAGAGGCGGGGAAGTACGGGAGGAGATAATGAGTGAAACGAACAGCTCAAGGGAGGGGCGAGGGGGGAGGCGTGGAAGGTACGGAAAGCACAGGGAGAGGGGAAGGGTGGGCAGCGAAGGAGAGAAATGCGTGTCGAGAGAATGGGGGAGACGACTCGCCTGTTGAGGGAGAGGAAGGCGTGGCCCCACTTGAAGCGACTGAGCAGCTCCGATGCTGTTTGCTTGTCCCCACTGGTTGACCATGGGGGAGATGGATGGAGAGGGGGGGAGGTGCAAGGGGGGCATGCATTTAGAAACGACGGAAAAGGAATGTGATGGGGATGCATGACACGGACGAATGTGATGGGGATGCATGACACGGACATGAACTCATTAAACATACGTACACCAGCTTATTAACGAACCACAAACACGAACCCGCAGGCTCAGGTGTGGAGATCCACCATGACCTTTTTTGAGGCGCCTCAAAAGAATCCACCATGACCTTTTTTGAGGCGCCTCAAAAGAATCCACCATGACCATTTTTGAGGCGCCTCAAAAGAATCCACCATGACCATTTTTGAGGCGCCTCAAAAGAATCCACCATGACCATTTTTGAGGCGCCTCAAAAGAATCCACCATGACCATTTTTGAGGCGCCTTGAAAAAATCCACCATGACCATTTTTGAGGCGCCTCAAAAGAATCCACCATGACCATTTTTGAGGCGCCTCAAAAGAATCCACCATGACCATTTTTGAGGCGCCTCAAAAGAATCCACCATGACCATTTTTAAGGCGCCTCAAAAGAATCCACCATGACCATTTTTGAGGCGCCTCAAAAGAATCCACCATGACCATTTTTGAGGCGCCTCAAAAGAATCCACCATGACCATTTTTGAGGCGCCTCAAAAGAATCCACCATGACCATTTTTGAGGCGCCTCAAAAGAATCCACCATGACCATTTTTGAGGCGCCTCAAAAGAATCCACCATGAGTTGGTGTACGGTGTGCACCCCAATACAACCATGAAGAGCACCCATCATACAACCATGAAGAGCACCCATCATACAACCATGAAGAGCACCCATCATACAACCATGAAGAGAACCCATCATACCACGAGCACCCATCATACCACGAGCACCCATCATACCACGAGCACCCATCATACCACGAGCACCCATCATACAACGAGCACCCATCATACCACGAGCACCCATCATACAACGAGCACCCATCATACCACGAGCACCCATCATACAACGAGCACCCATCATACAACGAGCACCCATCATACCACGAGCACCCATCATACAACGAGCACCCATCATACCACGAGCACCCATCATACCACGAGCACCCATCATACCACGAGCACCCATCATACAATGAGCACCCATCATACAACGAGCACCCATCATACAACGAGCACCCATCATACAACGAGCACCCATCATACAACGAGCACCCATCATACCACGAGCACCCATCATACAACAAGCACCCATCATACCACGAGCACCCATCATACAACCATGAAGAGCACCCATCATACCACGAGCACCCATCATACAACCATGAAGAGCACCCATCATACAATGAGCACCCATCATACAACGAGCACCCATCATACAACGAGCACCCATCATACAACGAGCACCCATCATACAACGAGCACCCATCATACAACGAGCACCCATCATACAACGAGCACCCATCATACAACGAGCACCCATCATACAACGAGCACCCATCATACAACGAGCACCCATCATACAACGAGCACCCATCATACCTCGAGCACCCATCATACAACGAGCACCCATCATACAACGAGCACCCATCATACCACGAGCACCCATCATACCACGAGCACCCATCATACCACGAGCACCCATCATACCACGAGCACCCATCATACCACGAGCACCCATCATACAACGAGCACCCATCATACAACGAGCACCCATCATACCACGAGCACCCATCATACAACGAGCACCCATCATACCACGAGCACCCATCATACCACGAGCACCCATCATACAACGAGCACCCATCATACAACGAGCACCCATCATACAACGAGCACCCATCATACAACGAGCACCCATCATACAACGAGCACCCATCATACAACGAGCACCCATCATACCACGAGCACCCATCATACCACGAGCACCCATCATACAACGAGCACCCATCATACCACGAGCACCCATCATACAACGAGCACCCATCATACCACGAGCACCCATCATACCACGAGCACCCATCATACCACGAGCACCCATCATACCACGAGCACCCATCATACCACGAGCACCCATCATACCACGAGCACCCATCATACAACGAGCACCCATCATACAACGAGCACCCATCATACCTCGAGCACCCATCATACAACGAGCACCCATCATACAACGAGCACCCATCATACCACGAGCACCCATCATACAACGAGCACCCATCATACCACGAGCACCCATCATACCACGAGCACCCATCATACAACGAGCACCCATCATACCTCGAGCACCCATCATACAACGAGCACCCATCATACCACGAGCACCCATCATACAACGAGCACCCATCATACAACGAGCACCCATCATACAACGAGCACCCATCATACCACGAGCACCCATCATACAACGAGCACCCATCATACAACAAGCACCCATCATACAACGAGCACCCATCATACAACGAGCACCCATCATACAACGAGCACCCATCATACAACGAGCACCCATCATACCACGAGCACCCATCATACAACGAGCACCCATCATACAACGAGCACCCATCATACAACCATGAAGAGCACCCATCATACAACCATGAAGAGCACCCATCATACCACGAGCACCCATCATACAACCATGAAGAGCACCCATCATACAATGAGCACCCATCATACAACGAGCACCCATCATACAACGAGCACCCATCATACAACGAGCACCCATCATACAACGAGCACCCATCATACAACGAGCACCCATCATACAACGAGCACCCATCATACAACGAGCACCCATCATACAACGAGCACCCATCATACAACGAGCACCCATCATACAACGAGCACCCATCATACCTCGAGCACCCATCATACAACGAGCACCCATCATACAACGAGCACCCATCATACAACGAGCACCCATCATACCACGAGCACCCATCATACAACGAGCACCCATCATACAACGAGCACCCATCATACCACGAGCACCCATCATACCACGAGCACCCATCATACCACGAGCACCCATCATACCACGAGCACCCATCATACCACGAGCACCCATCATACCACGAGCACCCATCATACCACGAGCACCCATCATACCACGAGCACCCATCATACCACGAGCACCCATCATACCACGAGCACCCATCATACCACGAGCACCCATCATACCACGAGCACCCATCATACCACGAGCACCCATCATACCACGAGCACCCATCATACCACGAGCACCCATCATACCACGAGCACCCATCATACCTCGAGCACCCATCATACCACGAGCACCCATCATACCACGAGCACCCATCATACCACGAGCACCCATCATACCACGAGCACCCATCATACCACGAGCACCCATCATACCACGAGCACCCATCATACCACGAGCACCCATCATACCACGAGCACCCATCATACCACGAGCACCCATCATACAACGAGCACCCATCATACCTCGAGCACCCATCATACAAGGAGCACCCATCATACAACGAGCACCCATCATACAACGAGCACCCATCATACCACGAGCACCCATCATACCTCGAGCACCCATCATACAACGAGCACCCATCATACAACGAGCACCCATCATACAACGAGCACCCATCATACCACGAGCACCCATCATACCACGAGCACCCATCATACCACGAGCACCCATCATACCACGAGCACCCATCATACCACGAGCACCCATCATACCACGAGCACCCATCATACCTCGAGCACCCATCATACAACGAGCACCCATCATATCACGAGCACCCATCATACAACGAGCACCCATCATACAACGAGCACCCATCATACAACGAGCACCCATCATACCACGAGCACCCATCATACCACGAGCACCCATCATACCACGAGCACCCATCATACCACGAGCACCCATCATACCACGAGCACCCATCATACCACGAGCACCCATCATACCACGAGCACCCATCATACCACGAGCACCCATCATACCACGAGCACCCATCATACCACGAGCACCCATCATACCACGAGCACCCATCATACCACGAGCACCCATCATACCACGAGCACCCATCATACCACGAGCACCCATCATACCACGAGCACCCATCATACCACGAGCACCCATCATACCACGAGCACCCATCATACCACGAGCACCCATCATACCACGAGCACCCATCATACCACGAGCACCCATCATACCACGAGCACCCATCATACCACGAGCACCCATCATACCACGAGCACCCATCATACCACGAGCACCCATCATACCACGAGCACCCATCATACCACGAGCACCCATCATACCACGAGCACCCATCATACCACGAGCACCCATCATACCACGAGCACCCATCATACCACGAGCACCCATCATACCTCGAGCACCCATCATACCACAAGCACCCATCATACCACGAGCACCCATCATACAACGAGCACCCATCATACAACGAGCACCCATCATACCACGAGCACCCATCATACAACGAGCACCCATCATACAACGAGCACCCATCATACAACGAGCACCCATCATACAACGAGCACCCATCATACAACGAGCACCCATCATACCTCGAGCACCCATCATACAACGAGCACCCATCATACAACGAGCACCCATCATACCACGAGCACCCATCATACCACGAGCACCCATCATACCACGAGCACCCATCATACCACGAGCACCCATCATACCACGAGCACCCATCATACCACGAGCACCCATCATACCACGAGCACCCATCATACCACGAGCACCCATCATACCACGAGCACCCATCATACCACGAGCACCCATCATACCACGAGCACCCATCATACCACGAGCACCCATCATACCACGAGCACCCATCATACCACGAGCACCCATCATACCACGAGCACCCATCATACCACGAGCACCCATCATACCACGAGCACCCATCATACCACGAGCACCCATCATACAACGAGCACCCATCATACCTCGAGCACCCATCATACAACGAGCACCCATCATACCACGAGCACCCATCATACAACGAGCACCCATCATACAACGAGCACCCATCATACAACGAGCACCCATCATACAACGAGCACCCATCATACAACGAGCACCCATCATACCACGAGCACCCATCATACAACGAGCACCCATCATACAACGAGCACCCATCATACCACGAGCACCCATCATACCACGAGCACCCATCATACCACGAGCACCCATCATACCACGAGCACCCATCATACCACGAGCACCCATCATACCACGAGCACCCATCATACCACGAGCACCCATCATACCACGAGCACCCATCATACCACGAGCACCCATCATACCACGAGCACCCATCATACCACGAGCACCCATCATACCACGAGCACCCATCATACCACGAGCACCCATCATACCACGAGCACCCATCATACCACGAGCACCCATCATACCACGAGCACCCATCATACCACGAGCACCCATCATACCACGAGCACCCATCATACCACGAGCACCCATCATACCACGAGCACCCATCATACCACGAGCACCCATCATACCACGAGCACCCATCATACCTCGAGCACCCATCATACCACGAGCACCCATCATACCACGAGCACCCATCATACCACGAGCACCCATCATACCACGAGCACCCATCATACCACGAGCACCCATCATACCACGAGCACCCATCATACCACGAGCACCCATCATACCACGAGCACCCATCATACCACGAGCACCCATCATACCACGAGCACCCATCATACCACGAGCACCCATCATACCACGAGCACCCATCATACCACGAGCACCCATCATACCACGAGCACCCATCATACCACGAGCACCCATCATACCACGAGCACCCATCATACCACGAGCACCCATCATACCACGAGCACCCATCATACCTCGAGCACCCATCATACCACGAGCACCCATCATACCACAAGCACCCATCATACCACGAGCACCCATCATACCACGAGCACCCATCATACCACGAGCACCCATCATACCACGAGCACCCATCATACCACGAGCACCCATCATACCACGAGCACCCATCATACAACGAGCACCCATCATACCACGAGCACCCATCATACAACGAGCACCCATCATACCTCGAGCACCCATCATACAACGAGCACCCATCATACAACGAGCACCCATCATACAACGAGCACCCATCATACAACGAGCACCCATCATACCACGAGCACCCATCATACCACGAGCACCCATCATACAACGAGCACCCATCATACAACGAGCACCCATCATACCACGAGCACCCATCATACCACGAGCACCCATCATACCACGAGCACCCATCATACCACGAGCACCCATCATACCACGAGCACCCATCATACAACGAGCACCCATCATACAACGAGCACCCATCATACAACGAGCACCCATCATACCACGAGCACCCATCATACCACGAGCACCCATCATACCACGAGCACCCATCATACCACGAGCACCCATCATACCACGAGCACCCATCATACCACGAGCACCCATCATACCACGAGCACCCATCATACAACGAGCACCCATCATACAACGAGCACCCATCATACCTCGAGCACCCATCATACAACGAGCACCCATCATACCACGAGCACCCATCATACCACGAGCACCCATCATACAACGAGCACCCATCATACCTCGAGCACCCATCATACAACGAGCACCCATCATACCACGAGCACCCATCATACAACGAGCACCCATCATACCACGAGCACCCATCATACCACGAGCACCCATCATACCACGAGCACCCATCATACCACGAGCACCCATCATACAACGAGCACCCATCATACAACGAGCACCCATCATACCACGAGCACCCATCATACAACGAGCCCCCATCATACAACGAGCACCCATCATACCTCGAGCACCCATCATACAACGAGCACCCATCATACCACGAGCACCCATCATACAACGAGCACCCATCATACAACGAGCACCCATCATACAACGAGCACCCATCATACAACGAGCACCCATCATACCACGAGCACCCATCATACAACGAGCACCCATCATACCACGAGCACCCATCATACAACGAGCACCCATCATACCACGAGCACCCATCATACCACGAGCACCCATCATACCACGAGCACCCATCATACCACGAGCACCCATCATACCACGAGCACCCATCATACCACGAGCACCCATCATACCTCGAGCACCCATCATACAACGAGCACCCATCATATCACGAGCACCCATCATACCACGAGCACCCATCATACAACGAGCACCCATCATACAACGAGCACCCATCATACAACGAGCACCCATCATACCTCGAGCACCCATCATACCTCGAGCACCCATCATACCACGAGCACCCATCATACCACGAGCACCCATCATACCACGAGCACCCATCATACCACGAGCACCCATCATACCACGAGCACCCATCATACAACGAGCACCCATCATACAACGAGCACCCATCATACAACGAGCACCCATCATACAACGAGCACCCATCATACAACGAGCACCCATCATACCACGAGCACCCATCATACCACGAGCACCCATCATACCACGAGCACCCATCATACCACGAGCACCCATCATACCACGAGCACCCATCATACCACGAGCACCCATCATACCACGAGCACCCATCATACCACGAGCACCCATCATACCACGAGCACCCATCATACCACGAGCACCCATCATACCACGAGCACCCATCATACCACGAGCACCCATCATACCACGAGCACCCATCATACCACGAGCACCCATCATACCACGAGCACCCATCATACCACGAGCACCCATCATACCACGAGCACCCATCATACCACGAGCACCCATCATACCACGAGCACCCATCATACCACGAGCACCCATCATACCACAAGCACCCATCATACCACGAGCACCCATCATACCACGAGCACCCATCATACCACGAGCACCCATCATACCACGAGCACCCATCATACCACGAGCACCCATCATACCACGAGCACCCATCATACCACGAGCACCCATCATACCACGAGCACCCATCATACCACGAGCACCCATCATACCACGAGCACCCATCATACCACGAGCACCCATCATACCACGAGCACCCATCATACAACGAGCACCCATCATACAACGAGCACCCATCATACCTCGAGCACCCATCATACCTCGAGCACCCATCGTACCACGAGCACCCATCATACCACGAGCACCCATCATACCACGAGCACCCATCATACAACGAGCACCCATCATACCTCGAGCACCCATCATACCTCGAGCACCCATCATACCACGAGCACCCATCATACCACGAGCACCCATCATACCACGAGCACCCATCATACCACGAGCACCCATCATACCACGAGCACCCATCATACAACGAGCACCCATCATACAACGAGCACCCATCATACAACGAGCACCCATCATACAACGAGCACCCATCATACAACGAGCACCCATCATACCACGAGCACCCATCATACCACGAGCACCCATCATACCACGAGCACCCATCATACCACGAGCACCCATCATACCACGAGCACCCATCATACCACGAGCACCCATCATACCACGAGCACCCATCATACCACGAGCACCCATCATACCACGAGCACCCATCATACCACGAGCACCCATCATACCACGAGCACCCATCATACCACGAGCACCCATCATACCACGAGCACCCATCATACCACGAGCACCCATCATACCACGAGCACCCATCATACCACGAGCACCCATCATACAACGAGCACCCATCATACCACGAGCACCCATCATACCACGAGCACCCATCATACCACGAGCACCCATCATACCACGAGCACCCATCATACCACGAGCACCCATCATACCTCGAGCACCCATCATACCACGAGCACCCATCATACCACGAGCACCCATCATACCACGAGCACCCATCATACCACGAGCACCCATCATACCACGAGCACCCATCATACCACGAGCACCCATCATACCACGAGCACCCATCATACCACGAGCACCCATCATACCACGAGCACCCATCATACCACGAGCACCCATCATACCACGAGCACCCATCATACCACGAGCACCCATCATACCACGAGCACCCATCATACCACGAGCACCCATCATACCACAAGCACCCATCATACCACGAGCACCCATCATACCACGAGCACCCATCATACCACGAGCACCCATCATACCACGAGCACCCATCATACCACCAGCACCCATCATACCTCGAGCACCCATCATACCACGAGCACCCATCATACCACGAGCACCCATCATACCACGAGCACCCATCATACCACGAGCACCCATCATACCACGAGCACCCATCATACCACGAGCACCCATCATACCACGAGCACCCATCATACAACGAGCACCCATCATACAACGAGCACCCATCATACAACGAGCACCCATCATACAACGAGCACCCATCATACCTCGAGCACCCATCATACAACGAGCACCCATCATACAACGAGCACCCATCATACAACGAGCACCCATCATACAACGAGCACCCATCATACCTCGAGCACCCATCATACCACGAGCACCCATCATACCACGAGCACCCATCATACCACGAGCACCCATCATACCACGAGCACCCATCATACCACGAGCACCCATCATACCACGAGCACCCATCATACCACGAGCACCCATCATACCACGAGCACCCATCATACCACGAGCACCCATCATACCACGAGCACCCATCATACCACGAGCACCCATCATACCACGAGCACCCATCATACCTCGAGCACCCATCATACCACGAGCACCCATCATACCACGAGCACCCATCATACCACGAGCACCCATCATACCACGAGCACCCATCATACCACGAGCACCCATCATACCACGAGCACCCATCATACCACGAGCACCCATCATACCACGAGCACCCATCATACCACGAGCACCCATCATACAACGAGCACCCATCATACCTCGAGCACCCATCATACAACGAGCACCCATCATACAACGAGCACCCATCATACAACGAGCACCCATCATACAACGAGCACCCATCATACCTCGAGCACCCATCATACAACGAGCACCCATCATACAACGAGCACCCATCATACAACGAGCACCCATCATACCACGAGCACCCATCATACCACGAGCACCCATCATACCACGAGCACCCATCATACCACGAGCACCCATCATACCACGAGCACCCATCATACCACGAGCACCCATCATACCACAAGCACCCATCATACCACGAGCACCCATCATACCACGAGCACCCATCATACCACGAGCACCCATCATACCACGAGCACCCATCATACCACGAGCACCCATCATACCACGAGCACCCATCATACCACGAGCACCCATCATACCTCGAGCACCCATCATACCTCGAGCACCCATCATACCACGAGCACCCATCATACCACGAGCACCCATCATACCACGAGCACCCATCATACCACGAGCACCCATCATACCACGAGCACCCATCATACCACGAGCACCCATCATACCACGAGCACCCATCATACCACGAGCACCCATCATACCACGAGCACCCATCATACCACGAGCACCCATCATACCACGAGCACCCATCATACCACGAGCACCCATCATACCACGAGCACCCATCATACCACGAGCACCCATCATACCACGAGCACCCATCATACCACGAGCACCCATCATACCACGAGCACCCATCATACCACGAGCACCCATCATACCACGAGCACCCATCATACCACGAGCACCCATCATACCACGAGCACCCATCATACCACGAGCACCCATCATACCACGAGCACCCATCATACCACGAGCACCCATCATACCACGAGCACCCATCATACCACGAGCACCCATCATACCACGAGCACCCATCATACCACGAGCACCCATCATACCACGAGCACCCATCATACCACGAGCACCCATCATACCACGAGCACCCATCATACCACGAGCACCCATCATACCACGAGCACCCATCATACCACGAGCACCCATCATACCACGAGCACCCATCATACCACGAGCACCCATCATACCACGAGCACCCATCATACCACGAGCACCCATCATACCACGAGCACCCATCATACCACGAGCACCCATCATACCACGAGCACCCATCATACCACGAGCACCCATCATACCACGAGCACCCATCATACCACGAGCACCCATCATACCACGAGCACCCATCATACCACGAGCACCCATCATACCACGAGCACCCATCATACCACGAGCACCCATCATACCACGAGCACCCATCATACCACGAGCACCCATCATACCACGAGCACCCATCATACCACGAGCACCCATCATACCACGAGCACCCATCATACCACGAGCACCCATCATACCACGAGCACCCATCATACCACGAGCACCCATCATACCACGAGCACCCATCATACCACGAGCACCCATCATACCACGAGCACCCATCATACCACGAGCACCCATCATACCACGAGCACCCATCATACCACGAGCACCCATCATACCACGAGCACCCATCATACCACGAGCACCCATCATACCACGAGCACCCATCATACCACGAGCACCCATCATACCACGAGCACCCATCATACCACGAGCACCCATCATACCACGAGCACCCATCATACCACGAGCACCCATCATACCACGAGCACCCATCATACCGAGCACCCATCATACGAGCACCCATCATACAACGAGCACCCATCATACAACGAGCACCCATCATACAACGAGCACCCATCATACCGAGCACCCATCATACCACGAGCACCCATCATACCACGAGCACCCATCATACCACGAGCACCCATCATACCACGAGCACCCATCATACCACGAGCACCCATCATACCACGAGCACCCATCATACCACGAGCACCCATCATACCACGAGCACCCATCATACCACGAGCACCCATCATACCACGAGCACCCATCATACCACGAGCACCCATCATACCACGAGCACCCATCATACCACGAGCACCCATCATACCACGAGCACCCATCATACCACGAGCACCCATCATACCACGAGCACCCATCATACCACGAGCACCCATCATACCACGAGCACCCATCATACCACGAGCACCCATCATACCACGAGCACCCATCATACCACGAGCACCCATCATACCACGAGCACCCATCATACCACGAGCACCCATCATACCACGAGCACCCATCATACCGAGCACCCATCATACAACGAGCACCCATCATACAACGAGCACCCATCATACAACGAGCACCCATCATACAACGAGCACCCATCATACAACGAGCACCCATCATACAACGAGCACCCATCATACAACGAGCACCCATCATACAACGAGCACCCATCATACAACGAGCACCCATCATACCACGAGCACCCATCATACCACGAGCACCCATCATACCACGAGCACCCATCATACCACGAGCACCCATCATACCACGAGCACCCATCATACCACGAGCACCCATCATACCACGAGCACCCATCATACCACGAGCACCCATCATACCACGAGCACCCATCATACCACGAGCACCCATCATACCACGAGCACCCATCATACCACGAGCACCCATCATACCTCGAGCACCCATCATACCTCGAGCACCCATCATACCACGAGCACCCATCATACCACGAGCACCCATCATACCACGAGCACCCATCATACCACGAGCACCCATCATACCACGAGCACCCATCATACCACGAGCACCCATCATACCACGAGCACCCATCATACCACGAGCACCCATCATACCACGAGCACCCATCATACCACGAGCACCCATCATACCACGAGCACCCATCATACCACGAGCACCCATCATACCACGAGCACCCATCATACCACGAGCACCCATCATACCACGAGCACCCATCATACCACGAGCACCCATCATACCACGAGCACCCATCATACCACGAGCACCCATCATACCACGAGCACCCATCATACCACGAGCACCCATCATACCACGAGCACCCATCATACCACGAGCACCCATCATACCACGAGCACCCATCATACCACGAGCACCCATCATACCACGAGCACCCATCATACCACGAGCACCCATCATACCACGAGCACCCATCATACCACGAGCACCCATCATACCACGAGCACCCATCATACCACGAGCACCCATCATACCACGAGCACCCATCATACCACGAGCACCCATCATACCACGAGCACCCATCATACCACGAGCACCCATCATACCACGAGCACCCATCATACCACGAGCACCCATCATACCACGAGCACCCATCATACCACGAGCACCCATCATACCACGAGCACCCATCATACCACGAGCACCCATCATACCACGAGCACCCATCATACCACGAGCACCCATCATACCACGAGCACCCATCATACCACGAGCACCCATCATACCACGAGCACCCATCATACCACGAGCACCCATCATACCACGAGCACCCATCATACCACGAGCACCCATCATACAACGAGCACCCATCATACCACGAGCACCCATCATACCACGAGCACCCATCATACCACGAGCACCCATCATACCACGAGCACCCATCATACCACGAGCACCCATCATACCACGAGCACCCATCATACCACGAGCACCCATCATACCACGAGCACCCATCATACCACGAGCACCCATCATACCACGAGCACCCATCATACCACGAGCACCCATCATACCACGAGCACCCATCATACCACGAGCACCCATCATACCACGAGCACCCATCATACCACGAGCACCCATCATACCACGAGCACCCATCATACCACGAGCACCCATCATACCACGAGCACCCATCATACCACGAGCACCCATCATACCACGAGCACCCATCATACCACGAGCACCCATCATACCACGAGCACCCATCATACCACGAGCACCCATCATACCACGAGCACCCATCATACCACGAGCACCCATCATACCGAGCACCCATCATACCTCGAGCACCCATCATACAACGAGCACCCATCATACAACGAGCACCCATCATACAACGAGCACCCATCATACCACGAGCACCCATCATACAACGAGCACCCATCATACAACGAGCACCCATCATACAACGAGCACCCATCATACAACGAGCACCCATCATACCACGAGCACCCATCATACCACGAGCACCCATCATACCACGAGCACCCATCATACCACGAGCACCCATCATACCACGAGCACCCATCATACCACGAGCACCCATCATACCACGAGCACCCATCATACCACGAGCACCCATCATACCACGAGCACCCATCATACCACGAGCACCCATCATACCACGAGCACCCATCATACAACGAGCACCCATCATACCACGAGCACCCATCATACCACGAGCACCCATCATACCACGAGCACCCATCATACCACGAGCACCCATCATACCACGAGCACCCATCATACCACGAGCACCCATCATACCACGAGCACCCATCATACCACGAGCACCCATCATACCACGAGCACCCATCATACCACGAGCACCCATCATACCACGAGCACCCATCATACCACGAGCACCCATCATACCACGAGCACCCATCATACCACGAGCACCCATCATACCACGAGCACCCATCATACCACGAGCACCCATCATACCACGAGCACCCATCATACCACGAGCACCCATCATACCACGAGCACCCATCATACCACGAGCACCCATCATACCACGAGCACCCATCATACCACGAGCACCCATCATACCACGAGCACCCATCATACCACGAGCACCCATCATACCTCGAGCACCCATCATACCACGAGCACCCATCATACCACGAGCACCCATCATACCACGAGCACCCATCATACCACGAGCACCCATCATACCACGAGCACCCATCATACCACGAGCACCCATCATACCACGAGCACCCATCATACCACGAGCACCCATCATACCACGAGCACCCATCATACCACGAGCACCCATCATACCACGAGCACCCATCATACCACGAGCACCCATCATACCACGAGCACCCATCATACCACGAGCACCCATCATACCACGAGCACCCATCATACCACGAGCACCCATCATACCACGAGCACCCATCATACCACGAGCACCCATCATACCACGAGCACCCATCATACCACGAGCACCCATCATACCACGAGCACCCATCATACCACGAGCACCCATCATACCACGAGCACCCATCATACCACGAGCACCCATCATACCACGAGCACCCATCATACCACGAGCACCCATCATACCACGAGCACCCATCATACCACGAGCACCCATCATACCACGAGCACCCATCATACCTCGAGCACCCATCATACAACGAGCACCCATCATATCACGAGCACCCATCATACAACGAGCACCCATCATACAACGAGCACCCATCATACAACGAGCACCCATCATACAACGAGCACCCATCATACCTCGAGCACCCATCATACCTCGAGCACCCATCATACCACGAGCACCCATCATACCACGAGCACCCATCATACCACGAGCACCCATCATACCACGAGCACCCATCATACCACGAGCACCCATCATACCACGAGCACCCATCATACCACGAGCACCCATCATACCACGAGCACCCATCATACAACGAGCACCCATCATACAACGAGCACCCATCATACCACGAGCACCCATCATACAACGAGCACCCATCATACCTCGAGCACCCATCATACAACGAGCACCCATCATACCACGAGCACCCATCATACAACGAGCACCCATCATACAACGAGCACCCATCATACCACGAGCACCCATCATACCACGAGCACCCATCATACCACGAGCACCCATCATACCACGAGCACCCATCATACCACGAGCACCCATCATACCACGAGCACCCATCATACCACGAGCACCCATCATACAACGAGCACCCATCATACCACGAGCACCCATCATACCACGAGCACCACCATGTGTGCGTTGGCCCACCATCGGCCATGTGAGCATCCCCCTGGACCCACTGTGTGCGGTGGTGTGCGGTGTGGTACGGTACACCCACCAGATGTAGAGTGCAGCAGCCATGGCCTCAACGCACGACAGCTGGCAGGGCTTGCCGTAGTTGACTGGGTTGGCCGCCACCAGCCACGGCACTGCACCACGGGAGGGTGGGAGGTGCGCGAGCAATGGGAGTGAACAGCAGGCGCAGATGAACGCAAGGCGAGGGCGAGAGGCAAGGGGAGTGAGAGCAAGGGGAGTGAGAGCAAGGGGAGTGAGAGGCAAGGGGAGTGAGAGCAAGGGGAGTGAGAGCAAGGGGAGTGAGAGCAAGGGGAGTGAGAGCAAGGGGAGTGAGAGCAAGGGGAGTGAGAGGCAAGCGGAGTGAGAGCAAGGGGAGTGAGAGCAAGGGGAGTGAGAGCAAGGGGAGTGAGAGCAAGGGGAGTGAGAGCAAGGGGAGTGAGAGTCAAGGGGAGTGAGAGCAAGGGGAGTGAGAGGCAAGGGGAGTGAGAGCAAGGGGAGTGAGAGCAAGGGGAGTGAGAGCAAGGGAAGTGAGAGGCAAGGGGAGTGAGAGGCAAGGGGAGTGAGAGCAAGGGGAGTGAGAGCAAGGGGAGTGAGAGGCAAGGGGAGTGAGAGGCAAGGGGAGTGAGGGGCAAGGGGAGTGAGAGCAAGGGGAGTGAGAGCAAGGGGAGTGAGAGCAAGGGGAGTGAGAGCAAGGGGAGTGAGAGCAAGGGGAGTGAGAGGCAAGGGGAGTGAGAGCAAGGGGAGTGAGAGCAAGGGGAGTGAGAGCAAGGGGAGTGAGAGCAAGGGGAGTGAGAGGCAAGGGGAGTGAGAGCAAGGGGAGTGAGAGCAAGGGGAGTGAGAGCAAGGGGATGTGAGAAAGAAGAATTGTTGCACTGAATAATGAGCCAAAAGGCTCTTTAGTACAAGCAATGAGCAAGAGAGAGATAAGAGGGAAGCTTACCCTATTGGCCAATAAGTTGGCCAATGGGTGAGTTTGCTTGTGGCCCAAGCAACCACAAAATGTGTGTTGGTTGGGATTGGTTAAGGTAAGGACCAATCCCCACCAACCACAAAATGTGGTTGGAGGGTACACTAACCAACCCCCCAATTTATAAGACTGCTGCACATCTAAGTCTAGCCTATGCATGTTGTATAAAATATGGAATTACAACACAACCCCCCAACATGCATAAGGCTACCGAGAAGGTTATAATCAAGAAGTGGAGACCAACTTTGGAGGAGTAAGGCCAAGGAGACGAATCAGTGAAGAGTGAGCCGCATGCGGAAGAGCTTTCGTGAAGATGTCGGCAAGGTTGGCTGCGGAGTCAACCTTATCGAGCCGAAGGTGCCCAGCCTGAACAAGATCGCGAATGAAGAAATGACGGAGCTCAATGTGCTTGGAGCGCCCGTGAAACACAGCATCCTTCGTGAGGTGAATGGTGCTGGCGTTGTCACACCAAATGGTGGGACAGCGCTGGGGGGCACCAAGCTCCTCAAGAAGGAAGGAGAGCCAGCGAGCCTCTTGTGCAGCCATGGTGGCGGCATACAACTCGGCTTCGCAGGACGAGAGGGCGATAGCCGAGGAGCGCGTGGAACGCCAGCTAATGAGGCCGCTGCCTAGAGAGAAGCCATAGCCCTGAGAGGAGCGACGATCTGGTCGGGAATCAGCCCAGGAGGAGTCACTGTAGCCGCTGAGGAGAGGTGGGGAAGGGCCGCCAAGGGTAAGGACATAGTCCTTGGTGCCACGAAGGTACCGGAGGACGCGCTTGGCAGCCTGCCAGTGCTCGTCCGTATGCTTGCCAGCGCCAACAAACCGAGCGAGGACGCTGATGGGGTAGGCAAGGTCAGGGCGAGTGGAGACCATGGCGTACATGAGGGAGCCAATGAGCTCGGGATAAGGATGGGAGGACGATGAGGGGGAGGTGGGTGGAGAGAGGTGGTGCCCGACAGAAAGAGGTGTAGGTTGGGCGCCGCCGCGGGCCATGTCAAACCGCTCTAAGACCTGCTGCAAGTAATGACCCTGGGAGAGTGAGATGGTGCGGGCGGAGCGGTCACGGGTGATGGTCATGCCCAGGTAATGCTGCAGTTCTCCCAAGTCTTTGCACTTGAGACGGCTACCCAACTCAGCCTTAACACGTTCCAACTCTCCAAGGTCGGCAGTGAGTAGGATCATGTCATCGACATACACAAGGATGTAAAATGGGGAGGGGGAGGTGCGGAGGAAGAGGCTGGCGTCAGAGCGGGAGGTGCGGAACCCAAGTTCAGCAAGGGTGGCGGCAAGTTTAGCATGCCACTCCCTCGGGGCCTGTCGGAGCCCATACACAGGTCGACGCAGCTGCCAGACAGAGTCTGCTGGGAAGGGGAGGTGAAAGCCGGCTGGACGCTCCATGTAGATAAGCTCGCGGAGGACGCCTTGCAGGAAGGCGTTAGAAACGTCCATCGAGTGGATCTCCATATTGAGGCGAGCGGCGAGGTCGAGCACGGCGCGAACAGTAGCAGGCTTGGCAGTGGGGGAGAAGGTATCGAAGAAGTCAAAACCATACCGCTGCGTGAACCCCTTGGCGCAGTAACGAGCCTTATAGACGGGCGGCTCCCCTGGTAGCTGCTTGACGCGAAACACCCACTTGCCTTTCACCACGTTCGTAGGGGCGGGAGGGCGAGGCACATCAACAAAAGAGGAGTTGCCGATAAAAGCCTCCAGCTCCTTGATGATGGCGGCGAGCCATAGTGGAGCGTCAGGGCACGCCATCGCCTCCTCATACGTGGTAGGAACGAAAATGGAGGGAGCAGAGGAGAAGGCGAAGACAGGTGTGCCGGAAAGGTCGAACGTGATGGGTAGAAGCGAGGGGTTATAAAGGTGGAGGTCAAGGAACTCCTCATGGGAGTCCTCAGAGAGGGAGGTGTGGAAGGCGCGGATGACTGCTGGTGCCGCTGCTGGTGCCGCTGCTGGTGCCGCTGCTGGTGCCGCTGCTGGTGCTGCTGGTGCCGCTGCTGGTGCCGCTGCTGCGTCCGCCGCCGCTGCTCCTGCCGCTGCCGCCGCTGCTGGTCCCGCTGCTGCTGCCGCTGCTGGTCCCGCTGCTGCTGCCGCTGCTGGTCCCGCTGCTGCTGCCGCTGCTGGTCCCGCTGCGGGGTCCGCTGCTGGGGCCGCTGCTTGTGCCGCTGCTGGTGCCGCTGCTGGTGCCGCTGCTGGAGAGGAGGTGGCTGAGGAGGCTGTTGCATGAGGGGCTTGATGCAAAACAGCCTGGAAGAAGTGACGAAGGAGGGGGGAGAGAGGGGGGAGGGTAGAGGTAGAGAGGGTAACGGGAGGTGGTGCACCAAGGATGCTGCCACGTGACCTGGTGTGGGGATACCGGGTGAGTATAGTGCGGGGAGGGGAAGGATGGGTCAGTGGCGAGGGAGAGGAAGGGGGGGAAGGGGGGCACTAGGAGAGGAGTGAGCGGGGGAGACAGGAGAAGACAAAGGGTCCGGGTCAAAGATGTCACCAGACGAGGGAGGGGTACCGTGGGACTGGGACGGCGGAGGGGGGGAGGGTGGGAGGATGGGGGGAGGAGGGAGTAGTGGGGGAGGGGTGGTGTCAGACCAGACAAGGGGACGGGTGAGAGGGGGGAGTGGGTCAGTAGATGGAGGGGAGGAGTAGTAGGGAGTGGACTCGTCAAAGACCACAGCCCTGCTGCGGATTAGACGACCGGATGGGGGGTGGAGGAAAAGGTAGTCGGGGGAGGAGGGATTATGACCAAGGAAGATGCAAGGAAGGGTACGAGGGGCAAGCTTTCCCATGGATCGGGAGCGCTCAGAGGGGTGAATAAGGACATGTGCCTTAGAGCCCCAGACACGAAGTGATGAGGCATCAGGCTTGTCCTTCGTCCAAAGCTCAGTGGGGGTGATGGAGGGGAGAAGGGGGTGAGGGTAAAGGTTAGTAAGGAGGGCGGCATGAAGGAGGGCGTAGCCCCACAGAGAAGGGGGGCATGAGGCGTGGACAAGCAGACACCGGGCTGTTTTGGTGATCTCTCGAACACGACTCTCAGCCACACCGTTCTGCTGTGGGGAGTGAGGGAGGGTGTAAGTCTGAAGGATGCCACGAGACTGACAATAGGAGGAGACTTGGTTGTTAAGGAACTCACCACCTCCATCAGAGTGAAGGCGGCGAACAGGGCGCCCAAAATGGGTGTTTGCCCGCTCGAGCCAGGCGATGATCGCAGCCGGGGCATCCGCCTTTGTCCGAAGAAGAGAGACGGACGAGTACCGACTGTGATCATCAACAAGCACAAGAAGGTAGCGATGGCCCTGGCGAGTGGGAGAGGGATTAGGGCCCCATAGGTCCATGTGAACAAGATCAAGTGGCTGCGCAGCAGCGGAGGGGGAGCTCCGGTGCGGCTGCTGCTTGAGCTTGCTCTGAACGCAGACGGTGCAGGGGGGTGCAGGGGATTTGGGGAGGGGAGGGAGGGAGGAGGGGAGACCGTGGAGGAGACCGGAGGAGACAGATGAGCGGAGAGTAGCGAAGTTGGGGTGGCCTAGCCTGTGATGGAGGAGGATGGTGGGGTGGGAGAGGGAGCGACAGGAACAGTCAGAGTCAGGAGGGCGGGGTGGGAGGGGTGGGTTAGTGGGAGGGAGGGGAGGGGGAGGGGGAAGGAGGGGGGGGGAGGCAACTTGGAAGGTGAGGGGGCGGGGAACCCGAAGGGTGTACAGACGGGAGCGGGGACAATAGGGAATACGGGCGAGAAAACGACCTGTGGAGGTTTGGTATAGGTCACAATGGTTAGCACCACCTGGGATGAGAGTGGTGATCATGGCTTGTTGGAGGGACCTTTGGGAGAAGAGGTTAGTGCGAAGGGAGGGAATGTGGAGTCCGGTGACAGTACCTGAGGGAAAGAGAGGACAGGGAAGGGTGGAGGTGTTGTGACAGGGGATGGAAAAGCTGCTATCAGCGCCGAGGAGGGAGGTTGGTGTGGGGAGAGGGCGCAGTGTACCAGCGTCACGAAGGACAGTGTCAGTGGCTCCACTGTCCAGAACGAAGTCAATGGTGGAGGAAGGTGAGGCAGAGTACTGGAACGACGTTTCATTAGCAGAAGAAGGGTACATGGGAGATGCAACAGATTCAGGTTGACCTAATAAACCAACAAAACCAGAGGAAGGGAAAGCGGTCGCACTGCCACCTGCAGACGGCGCCGGGGATGCACCCGAGAGATGGGCTGCAGAGGCAGCACTCCCAGCAGTCCAGGCAGGAAAGGGCTGCTGCTGGGATACCGGAGGAGGAGGGAGGAGGGGCAGTTGCGGCTGGAGGTCTAGCTGCTGCTGGAGTTGCTGGAGCTGCTGCTGGAGCTGAGATAGGAGAAGCTGCTGCCCATACTGCTGTGACCCCTGCTGCTGATTCCCAAGCTGCTGCTGCTGTTGCTGCTGCTGGTGCTGCTGCTGGGGAGGGGCGAGGGCCTGGTGGGCGTGGGTGGAGGAGGAAGGTTCATAGAGGGGAGAGGAACGGACCTCAAGGGGAGTGGGGCGAGGGTTGAGGGCGGACCAGCGAGGAGGGGTGCCGGTGTTGCCACGGGCAAACCACTCATCACTGAGTGCCTTGAAGCACGTCTCAGTGGCATGGGTGGTTTGGCCGCAGCGCTGTCCCTGAGTGGGACCGTAGCGAGGCAGGTACTGACAGGGAGGAAAGGCAGCTGCGGCACCACGACCTGTACCTCCGCTACCAGCACCACCGCGTCCTGCCCACCACCACGCCCACCCCCACGCACACCACCACGGCCACCCCGGCTGCTGCGCGATTGGGCTGCTGCGGCTGTGGAGGAAGAGTGGCGAAGGATCTCAGCTTCGGTGGTGATAATCCACTGAGCGACTTCAGCAGGGGTGTGGTGCTTGGAGATAAGCTGCATGTACGCAAGCTTGTGAGCGTCGAAGGCAGGTGTCAGGCCCTCAAGAAGGTGGCAGCAAATGACAGCATCTGGGTACACCACATCAAGTGCTGCAAGGCGTCGAGCGAGATCTAGGACGCGGCGAGTGAAGGCAGCTGCGCCGGAGGTTGAATCCATAGAGAGAGTTCCGAATTCTTTGATAAGAGCGTAGAGGGTGGCGACGTCTTGACGGTCGAAAAGGTCGACGAGTGATCGCCACAGGTGGGAGGAGGAGGTGGGTGAGAGCTCGCGTTTGAGGGAGGAGGGAATGGTGGCGAGAAGAATGGCAAGAGCGCCTCGGTCAGCAACTCGCCAGGCAGTGATTTTGGTGGTGTAGTCGGCAAGTTGTGCAGCGTAGGTGTTGAGGTCCTCCTGGTACTTGTTGTGGAGGGCAGCAGCAGCATCATATGTGCGCTTGTCCTCTTCGTAACGCAGTTGCTGGCGTAGGTGCTCTTGGAGAGCGGTGCGGTATGTGCGAATGGCGGTTTCCGAGCTCTGTGGGTCGTTTATATTCGGCGCGAAGGTGGGAGGGTCACCCGGGGGGATAGGCTCGGCCCCAGGAGTGGTGGGGGCGACGGGCTGAAGACCGGTGTCTTCCTGGAATACAATCGATCGAAGGTTGTAGCCGCTGACTATGATAGAGGAGAGAAGCACCTCGACTGAGTGAGCGTAAGAGTGCCAATTAGCAGCAGAGTTGTCAGCAAGTAGCTCAAGTGCGTCAACTGTAGCGAGATCGGCAGAGGAGTCGGATGATGATGCCATAGGGACGAGGTCGAGGAGAGGGAAGAGGAGGAGGCAGGTAATGTGCTGGTCTCGCTGCCGCTGCTGGTCCCACTGCTGCTGCCGCTGCTGGTCCCGCTGCTGCTGCCGCTGCTGGTCCCGCTGCTGCTGCCGCTGCTGGTCCCGCTGCTGCTGCCGCTGCTGGTCCCGCTGCTGCTGCCGCTGCTGGTCCCGCTGCTGCTGCCGCTGCTGGTCCCGCTGCTGCTGCCGCTGCTGGTCCCGCTGCTGCTGCCGCTGCTGGTCCCGCTGCTGCTGCCGCTGCTGGTCCCGCTGCTGCTGCCGCTGCTGGTCCCGCTGCTGCTGCCGCTGCTGGTCCCGCTGCTGCTGGGTAGAACAGGAGGAGGACGAACGGGGGAGGGGGGGGGAGGAGGGAGGGAGGAGAGGGGGAGGAGAGGGGGGCGGGGGGGCGCGGTGTGGTTGGAGGGCGGGAGGACGACGACGACGAACAGGCTTGCGGCGAACGCGTTGGGCGAGGAGGTGCGATGCGGAGGCGCTGGACGAGGAGGCCTGCTGCGGACGCGCGCGACAGGCAGAGTCGCCGCGGATGCACGCAACAAAGGAGCCCGTGCGGCGAGCAGGTCGCAGCCGTCGGTGAGCAGATCGCGACCGTCGGCGAGCAGATTGCGGCCGTCAACGAGCAGATCGACGCCGTCGACGAGCAGATCGGGGACGTCGACGAGTGAATCGCGGCCGTCAGCGAGCAAACCGCGGCCGCCGAGCAGGTTGCGGCCGTCGGCGAGCAGATCTGAGCCGTCGACGAGCAGATCTGGGCCGTCGACGAGTAGAACGCGGCCGTCGAGCAGAACGCGGCCGTTGACGAGGAAATTGCGGCCGTTGAAGAGGAAATCGTGGCCGTCGCAAAGGTAGGTCGCGGAGAGGGCAAATACGGTCCGCGGGAGGGCGGATCTGGTCCGCAGGAGGGCGGATCTGGTCCGCAGGAGGGCGGATCTGGTCCGCGGGAGGGCGGATCTGGTCCGCGGGAGGGCGGATCTGGTCCGCGGGAGGGCGGATCTGGTCCGCGGGAGGGCGGATCTGGTCCGCGGGAGGGCGGATCTGGTCCGCGGGAGGGCGGATCTGGTCCGCGGGAGGGCGGATCTGGTCCGCGGGAGGGCGGATCTGGTCCGCGGGAGGGCGGATCTGGTCCGCGGGAGGGCGGATCTGGTCCGCGGGAGGGCGGATCTGGTCCGCGGGAGGGCGGATCTGGTCCGCGGGAGGGCGGATCTGGTCCGCGGGAGGGCGGATCTGGTCCGCAGGAGGGCGGATCTGGTCCGCGGGAGGGCGGATCTGGTCTGCGGGAAGGCGGATCTGGTCCGCAGGAGGGCGGATCTGGTCCGCGGGAGGGCGGATCTGGTCCGCAGGAGAAAGGATAGCGCCTAAGACGTGAAGCGGGAGGTAGCGCTTAAGGAAACACAGGGAGGGAGGCCATTATTGGCCGGGTAGGAAGAGAGGTACATGTTAGGACGGTCCTAAGGATCTTGGTAGGGCGTGAGCCATAAGCTCTGAATACCATGTGAGAAAGAAGAATTGTTGCACTGAATAATGAGCCAAAAGGCTCTTTAGTACAAGCAATGAGCAAGAGAGAGATAAGAGGGAAGCTTACCCTATTGGCCAATAAGTTGGCCAATGGGTGAGTTTGCTTGTGGCCCAAGCAACCACAAAATGTGTGTTGGTTGGGATTGGTTAAGGTAAGGACCAATCCCCACCAACCACAAAATGTGGTTGGAGGGTACACTAACCAACCCCCCAATTTATAAGACTGCTGCACATCTAAGTCTAGCCTATGCATGTTGTATAAAATATGGAATTACAACAGGGGAGTGAGAGCAAGGGGAGTGAGAGGCAAGGGGAGTGAGAGCAAGGGGAGTGAGAGCAAGGGGAGTGAGAGGCAAGGGGAGTGAGAGCAAGGGGAGTGAGAGCAAGGGGAGTGAGAGCAAGGGGAGTGAGAGCAAGGGGAGTGAGAGCAAGGGGAGTGAGAGCAAGGGGAGTGAGAGGCAAGGGGAGTGAGAGGCAAGCGGAGTGAGAGCAAGGGGAGTGAGAGCAAGGGGAGTGAGAGCAAGGGGAGTGAGAGCAAGGGGAGTGAGAGCAAGGGGAGTGAGAGGCAAGGGGAGTGAGAGCAAGGGGAGTGAGAGCAAGGGGAGTGAGAGGCAAGGGGAGTGAGAGCAAGGGGAGTGAGAGCAAGGGGAGTGAGAGCAAGGGGAGTGAGAGGCAAGGGGAGTGAGAGCAAGGGGAGTGAGAGGCAAGGGGAGTGAGAGCAAGGGGAGTGAGAGCAAGGGGAGTGAGAGCAAGGGGAGTGAGAGCAAGGGGAGTGAGAGGCAAGGGGAGTGAGAGCAAGGGGAGTGAGAGCAAGGGGAGTGAGAGGCAAGGGGAGTGAGAGCAAGGGGAGTGAGAGCAAGGGGAGTGAGAGCAAGGGGAGTGAGAGGCAAGGGGAGTGAGAGCAAGGGGAGTGAGAGGCAAGGGGAGTGAGAGCAAGGGGAGTGAGAGCAAGGGGAGTGAGAGCAAGGGGAGTGAGAGCAAGGGGAGTGAGAGGCAAGGGGAGTGAGAGGCAAGGGGAATGAGAGCAAGGGGAGTGAGAGCAAGAGGAGTGAGAGCAAGGGAGTGAGAGCAAGGGGAGTGAGAGCAAGGGGAGTGAGAGCAAGGGGAGTGAGAGCAAGGGGAGTGAGAGGCAAGGGGAGTGAGAGCAAGGGGAGTGAGAGAAAGGCAGATGATTTCAAGAGGAGTAAGAGGAGCAAACAGCAACCAACACTATATGCTTTAAACACAAACTGATGCCGCATGTGGACTTGACACCACGGCACCTACTTGGCTATCTTCAGGGACTCACACAGCCTGGCAGCACCGACTCACAGAGCCTGGCAGCGCCCACCCACACAGCCTGGCAGCACCGACTCACAGAGCCTGGCAGCGCCCACTCACAGAGCCTGGCAGCACCGACTCACAGAGCCTGGGAGCACCGACTCACAGAGCCTGGGAGCACCGACTCACAGAGCCTGGGAGCACCGACTCACAGAGCCTGGGAGCGGGGGACTTGAGGGCAGCGAAGGGCACGTCAGCGAGGCGAGCCCAGGAGCAGTCCACCACGGCCAGACCCTTGGCTGCCAGCAGCGGCGCGTCTGCTCTTGACACCGCCCTCTGCCCCGTTGGACTGCGGGAGGAGAGGCGAGCAGGGAGAGGGGAGGCGAGGAAGGGGGGAGGCGAGGAAGGGGGGAGGAGGGATGGGATGGACTATTTGAGGCATGGAGGGAGGAGGAGGGATGGACACAATCGAGCCAAGGAGCAGCACAATATGGCCAGCCCCTTGCCTGGCATAAGCAGGCGGAGAGGGGGGAGGCACAGGAGAGGTGGAGTGGAGAGCACAGGAGAGGTGGAGTGGAGAGCACAGGAGCGACCCATCACAGCCAGCTGTTGGCACGAGTGTGGCAGCACGGCAGTACGGCAGGAGGAGGACATGGCTATGAGCTGGTGGCTATGAGCTGGTGGCTATGAGCTGGTGGCTATGAGCTGGTGGCTATGAGCTGGTGGCTATGAGCTGGTGGCTATGAGCTGGTGGCTATGAGCTGGTGGCTATGAGCTGGTGGCTATGAGCTGGTGGCTATGAGCTGGTGGCTATGAGCTGGCGGCTATGAGCTGGTGGCTATGAGCTGGTGGCTATAAGCTGGTGGCTATGAGCTGGTGGCTATGAGCTGGTGGCTATGAGCTGGTGGCTATAAGCTGGTGGCTATGAGCTGGTGGCTATGAGCTGGTGGCCATGTGGGCTGTTGGAGTGGATGGTGGAGGCGGAGCGGTGAGAGTGAGGCAAGAGGACTGAAGCATGAGGGGAGCACTGTGAGGCATGAGGGGAACACTGTGAGGCATGAGGGGAGCACTGTGAGGCATGAGGGGAGCACTGTGAGGCGTGTGGCAAGGCTGAGATGAGATCAGCACAGCCAGGCTCTAACCCACCAGTGCAGCATCCCCCCCACCAGCGCAGCATCCCCCCCACCAGTGGTGCCCACATGTCATGAACGAGTGTCAGGCGGCTCAGACACATGTGCATCTACTCCCTTCCCTGTATTCCCTTCCCTTCCTTCCCCAAGCCTCTACTGCTCTCGCCTCCTTCATCCCGCCCTTGTCCGCACCACCCATACCTTCACCCTCCCTCCTCCTCCCCCACTTCCACCCGCTCCTCACTCCCTCCCTGGAACCCTCGCCTCACCTCACCTCACCTCACCTCACCTCACCTCACCTCACCTCACCTCACCTCACCTCACCTCACCTCACCTCGCACATGCTGTTGACCTGCACTGCACTGCACTGGCCGCACATCTAAGCCAGATGAGCCCAAGCTCTAGGCGAACAGCTAAAGCACACGCCCTTCACCCCTCAATAAATTCCCTGAGGCACACGCCCCCATCCACCTGAAGAAAATGCCCCTTCACCTCTCAACTCCCCACCTGAGGCACATGCCCACCTGAGCAGACGCCCACCTGAGGCAGATGCCCACCTGATGCAGATGCCCACCTGAGGCAGACGCCCACCTGAGGCAGATGCCCACCTGAGGCAGATGCCCACCTGAGGCAGATGCCCACCTGAGGCAGATGCCTGCGAAGCGCTGCTGCACACGCATCTCGCGAATGAGCCTCAGCCGCAGCAGCTTGCGCCCCGTGCAGCGCTTGCTGTCGCACTGCCCAAAGTCCTGCGGGTGGGCGTGCAGTGCAGTGCAGTGCAGTGCAGTGCAGTGCAGTGCAGTGCAGTGCAGTGCAGTGCAGGGGGGAGTTGAGAGTTGAGAGTGAGGATGAGGATGAGTAGAGGGCACGGCAGGCGCCTATGGGCCTTTCTGTAGTGTATATACAAACAGTACAGACGCTCCCACCTCGCCATGTAGCGCTTTCTGTTGCACTGCCTAAACAGGGTCACTTGGTTAGAGATAAAAAGGAATAGAATAAGGCGGCCTTTGAGGGGGGTGGCATTGGTCTTCCAGGGAAGGTGAGCTTAACCCAGCAGCCTGTTTACTGCTGCTTGGCTGCTGTAGCAACAGCAGCAGCAGCAGCAGCAGCAGCAACCAGATGCTTTACCCACATTTCCCACAGCTCACCAATCGAGGACCTTGTGAATATGAATTCCAGCAGGCAGCGTAATGAGCCGACTATAACATCCAGGCAGCTCAGCTCACCCACATGGCGAGGTCCATGGGCGGCTTGTACGGCCTGGCGTCCCCAGATGGTTGCGATGCGAGTTCTGTGCGAGTCGGGCGGGCGAACAGTGGGACGGGAGGGATGAGCGTGACGGACGAAATATATGATTCGATGCTTTGTCTGGAAATTTGAATAAAACGCAAAGAGGGACGGACGGAGGGAAGCAAGGAGGGGAGGGAAGGGCAAGCCATGGCATATTCTTCCGCCGGATGTGAGTGGGGTGGTGAGTGGGGTGGTGAGTGGGGTGGTGAGTGGGTGAAATCGATAGGTGGAGCAGCAGTGGGGCACGGAGGGAACATCATGGAAGACATGCGCTGGGCGCTCACTGATACCCAGAAGGAAAGGGAAGGAGGAGCGAGGGAGGTGAACTGGAGAAGGAGAGTTTCAAAGGATTTGGAATCAGTCGCGCAGGATAAGGGCAAACCACAGCATGGGCGAGCATAAGTCTCACCGTCCTGCTCCTCCGCCCTCCTGCCCCTCCTCGGGCTTCCTGCCTCCTCGGCTGCACTGCCGCCCGCCCTGTGGTCGCTGCCGCGGAAAGGAAGAGGGGAAAGGAGAGGGCGATGGGGATTGTGTGGAGGGGGGGGAGGAGACTGAAAGGAAAGAGGGGGGAGCAACGAATGGCTGCGCGACAAAACACCCGAGGGCTACTCCTAACGCCGCAGAGGGCGCACCCGAACCTGTCGGCGAGCGTGAACCTTTCGGCGCACCCGTGCCTGTGTGCGCGTAAATCGACTCAACCGCTACCTGTGCCTGCCTCGCGCCCATCGCTGCCGTCCCCCTCGTTACCTGGATCCGCACGACCGCCGGCCCCCACCGTCTCTTCTTCCCCGCCCCATCGCCCCCGCGTGAGCCGCCGCGCAGAATAACGCGCAGTTAACTACTCGATCGTTGAGAACTGCTCGATCGCCGTCGGAATTTTGAACTGTGGTCAGTCACAGAAAGCCGAAGCTGGGGAAGGACGTGATTCCAAACCTACTATAGTTTGTCGTCGTGACAGGTTATGAATGAACGGTTTCCAAAATTTATGCTGCATGCTGGTAGCGAACCTTATTGTGAAGAGTTTCGCTTCTTCTTGTACGGTCGAAGCCTGTTTGAGCCCCCCGACCTTGCCTTACTCTCACGGCGTACAATTGATTCTTGCATTTCGCAAATGTTCCTAGCAAAAAAGGGCTTATAAAAAGATTGTAACTCACCGTTGACTGTTTGATCTCGATCTCTTCAATTTGACTTCGGTTTCTCTAGTTTGTATTGGTCCTGTTACAATCCCAAATGGGACTTAGCCACGGATCGGCTCAGGGTTGTTCACAGGTGATGTTGCAGCGGAAGTGTTGACCTCAGATCAGAGTGAATGTAAAATGACTGAGATGATAATAACATGCATACATCGAGTTTATATAGAAGCATACAGGGAATACAAAAAGTCCTAGACTAGCCATGTACTCTAAGGGGTACATTCCCTTATTGCAACGAAGTTCAAACCATGGCGAAGGAACATGTTTTGAACCTGTTCCCGCTCTTTCCACTTCAAATGTTAACTGCCTGCATCGGTCTTGATCTGACGGTTGCTGGCGTCGCTTCGACTCTTCTGACGCCTCGACTTCGTACTCGGTAGAGTCGGCTCTTGCAGCATACAGGAATGTCTTCTCATTAAATTTCATATCGTATCACTCCCCTTCATTCCTGGGCGCGCAGAGGGTTGACTCCCTTGACTACTCCGGTGAGGTCGGAGCAGTGTTTGAACTGCTGACGTGGTAGTCGCTTGGTGAAGAAGTCGGTTGCCATCTTAGTAGAAGGGCAATATGTGAGATCAACCTTGCCCTAGTCAATTTCGTCCTTGACAAAGAAGTATCGGAGTGCAATGTGCTTCGTGCGGTTTACGAATCCCGGCTTGTTTGCGATTTTTATGGCGCTCTGGTTGTCGCAGTGAAGGCGAAAGGTAGGCGAAGTTGGGATTTTCGCTTCCTGCAGCACCTCCTGCGGGTACAGACCTTCGCGAACTGTTGCTGTCGCAGCGATGTAATCTGCTTCAGCTGATGACAGGGCAACTAGTTCCTGCTTCTGTGAGTTCTAGGAAATTGGTCCAATTGGCTCCAAGCAGAAGACGAAGCCGGTTCGTGATCGTTGAGGTTGAAGGAGGTTGTCGTCAGCGTGGAGTAGGAGAGTCCGATGTCAGGCGTGGAGATGAAGTACTGCAGGGCGCGCTCCAAGTCCAGCTGGTTCTCGGCTATTGGCTTACGGGAGTATTGTGCCAATTGGCTGGCGATGTACGAGAGGTCGGGTCGGCATGTGACACAGGCGAACAGCAGGCACCCCAGTTGCTGCTGGTACAGTTGGAGTCCTGCGGGCGACACAGGTTGGATATCCGGTTTGTAGCTAGCGCTAGGGTTGCAGTAAGGAGTGGGGAGTGGCGCAGGAGAAATGTTGAAGCGTTTCGCCAGCTGCTCTGCGTACTTTGAGGCTGACAGATGAATTGCTTCTGGCGCGTAGGTGATGTTCAGGCCCAAAAACTGTGTGACGTTGTGGTTGATGGTGATGTCCACGTGCTGCGCCAGGTTCTCCTTGAACTGGTTAAGGAGTTTGTTGCAGGTGCCGGTGTAAAGCAGGTCCTCAACGTAGACGGTCAGAAGGATGTAATCGCCGTTGAAGTGGAGGCGGTACATTCCCGGGTCGTGCGGCAGCTGCCTGAAGCCGATTTCTAGGAGGATTTTGTGCAGGTGCTGCTGCCAGAGACGCGACGCTTGTTTTATCCCGTTGAGGGATTTCTTCAGTTGACATACCCTAAGGTCTCCTTCCCCATAGGTGTGTGGTTCTTCCACAAAGATGGTTGCATCCACCAGTGCGTACAAAAACGCGTTCTTGACGTCGATCCGTCGTAGTGGTAGGTGCTTGGCGGCAGCAATGGCGAGTAGAATCCTGACGGAGGTATGACGACTGACGGGAGAGAAGGTTTGGTCGAAATCAATGCCGTGGCGCTGGTCGTACCCGCTTACGACCCAACGTACTTTGAAGCGCTCGATGGTACCGTCAGCGTTGGTTTTCAGGTGAAAACCCCATTTTCCGCTTAGCACCCTCCTCCCCTTCACTGCTGCACGATCGACGAGGTGTGACGCGATTCCAGTGCCTTCAGCTTTGCGTCCATAGTGGCATGCCACTCCTTAGCGTGAGGGCCGGTTAGGGCCTGGCGTGGATTCTTGGGCTCGAGGGCGCGCGTGAGAGTAGTGACAGACGTGTGAAGGCTGACAAGTTGTAGGCCGGACACGTTGGTGGTGTCCGCGGTGTCTGTGATGGGGACTTCCACCACGTCGTCATTGTCGCTTTCGTGGCGAGGTGAGGAAGGTCTTGCCTCAGGTTGGCGCCGTGATGGTCATGGCGCGGGGGTATCGTCGCTGTCGTCATCGTCGTCGCCGTCGCGCGGGCGAGGCGGGACGCTGGGATGTTCGTCGGCGGGGTTGCGGTCAAGTGCTGATGTTGCTACCTCGTCTTCTGTAGATGCAAAGCTGTGGCCACTGTTGGCGTAGGCGCGGGCGACGTTGCGGCGTTCGTCCTCGATCCACTGCTGCAAGGCGCGACGTTCGTAGAAGAGGATGTCGCGAGCAGGGACGATTTGGTTGGTGGTAATGTCGAGAATGAGCCAGCCTTGATACTCGTGACTGGGTCCCAAGTGGACTCCCCAGCGTGCGCGTTGAGTGAATTTGTCAATGGTGGCCGAAGTCGGTCGATACTGCACCATATATCCCGTAACCCTCAGCATGGAGGTATCTCCCCTTGAGTCGGTCCATTTCATGTGCGGGAAGAGGTTGCCCCTGTTGGCCGTGGTGGAGAGGAGGTTGTGCAGGCGCACCGCGTGGTTCATGGCATATGGCCAATACTCCTTAGGTAGGCCGGACTGATTCATGAGGGCGCGCACTTTCGTCATGAGAGTGCAGTTGACCGTCTCAGCGATGCCTTGCTGTGGTGAGCCTAGGAGAGAGAGATCTGATGCTTGATCCCCTTCTCTGCGACAACACTTTCCAATTTGTGGCTCTGAAACTCCTAAGCGCCGTCAGTCTGCCAGATTTTCAGTTTCTTTCCCAATTGTCATTGCGCGTGTGCAAGCCAGATGCGGAAGATCTCAGGAGCTTTGGACCGGACGTCGACGTTGGCGATCCAGATGTAGCGTGACTACGCGTCCACGAAGGTGAGTGTGTATCGTTTGCCGTTTATGCCGTCGAAGATGAACATGATGAAATCGCTGTAGACTTTCTGCAGCTTTTTGTAACGGTTGGTGCTTGGCTCCAGGGAGGGGTAGGCTTGGTGTGTGAGAGCTGCAGTGGGGCAAACGGTGCAGGTAGTTGGGTGTGTTGTGCTGAGAGGTTCCGTGCCGTCGGGGCGCAGCAGTGCTCCTGGCAGGAAAACTTGAGTGCGGAGGCAGTTGTTGAATGTCTGGCGC